TTTATAAATAATTTAAAAGCAGTGTAAGGGAGGTAATTCAAATGATGTATTTGATTTATCTCCCTTACACTGCTTTAAATTATGTTTTGTACTAAGGAATTTGTCCATATAAAAATGCTTGTTTTTTGCCCCTTTTTTTGCCCCTAATTCCTTAAATTTTGAGGCAATTACACCCAAAATCAATCCCAGCATTCCCTTTGTGATATGGAACCTTGTGGTACAATGTCAGAGAGATCCATACACTAACACACAAGTTATGTCTGGAAGTTACAAAAATGCTTATTTTTGGCCCCTTTTTGGCCCCTTATTCCTTAACTGTTGGTACCATAACCCCACCTTCCTTTTGTGGTATTGAACCTTATGGTGAAATTTCATAGAGATCCATTTACTTAAACTAAAGTTAGAGTGCGAAAACCAATGTGTCTTCGGATGACGTCGATGACGACGACAACGACGACAACAAAGTCATACCAATATACGATCGCAAAATTTTTTGCGGTCGTATAAAAAGTAATACAAGGTTAGATAGAACTCCCCAAAATTAAAGACTTTAAATTAATCACATTGAAATTGGTTGAAAGATTTGTATTTATTTTCAATTGAAGATTTCTTGCTATTGCGCAATACTGTGCAATCATTTGACATTTCAAAAATTATGAAGAAAAAAAATATGAACCCCCAAAAAAAATAGGAAAAAAAAATCCCCCTTAACTTTTTGAACCCCCTCCCCCTTGGAGTAATTACCCCTCAAATTAATCCCAGCCTTCCCTTTTTGGTATGGAACCTTGTAGTACAATTTTAGAGAGATCCATACACTTAAACACAAGTTACTGTCTGAAAACTATAAGAAGAGGCTGTCAGAGTGACAGCAAACCGGATTTTCCTGCAGAGGTCGAACCCTGAACAGTTGAGCAAGTATGGACACTACATTTTAGCTTAAACAGCTTTGAATTTGGATTGTGATTGAATATTTGACACAGCATAGGTTTGTGACACAAAATGAATGTGGTTTAAGAACTGAAATACTTGAAATTGGACATTTAAATACCTATTATGGTCCAATATCAAAAATCTAAGTACATATTAGAATCAGCATATCAAAGAACCCCAAGAATTCAATTTTTGATGAAATCAGACAAAATTTTAATTTAAGACCCTTTGGACCTCAAAGTGGACCAATTTGATAAAGGAGCCCACAATCCAAAATCTCTCAATACATGGTTAGATTCAGCATTTCAAAGAACCCCATAAATTATTTTTTTGTTGAATCAAACAAAGTTTGATTTTGGACCCTGATTTGGACCAACTTGAAAACTGGGCCCAAAAATCTAATATTCAAATACAGGTTTAGATTCAGCATTTGAAAGAACCCTATATATATTTAATTTATGTTGAAATGAAACACAGGTTAATTTTATCCATAATATTTTCTGTGCAAAGGGAAATAACTCAAACTGGATAAATAGTTCTATAAAATAAGATATGATGCAATTTTTCAAATTATAATCAATAATATAATAACAACAACCAGTGATGACTAAGTTCTCTAAAATTAGATATGATTTAACACTCAAACATTTTTAGAATCAGCATATCAAAGAACCAAAGAATTCAATTTTTGATGAAATTAATCAAAAGTGTAATTTAGGACCCTTTGGACCTCAATGTGGTATTATCTTATTAATAATGAAAAGAAATACAGGTTTAGATTAAGCATTTCAAAGAACTCTATATATATTCAATTTATGTTGAAATCAAACACAGTTTAATTTTGGACCCTTATTTGGACCAACTTAAAAACTGGACCCAAAATCAGAAATCTAAATATATGTTTATTAATAGACAATATAAGCTTAGTTTTTAAAGGAGTTTACTTCATAAAAAAAAATATATAGCATTCAGAAAATTAGTTTTTACAGAATAACAAACAAACTTGCCACAAAATTCTACAAACAATTTACCAAAGAAAAGAAGAAAATAAACCAAAATTTTATTTATCATTAATACAATGTCATTTCAAAATCTATAAAACTTATCAGTAACAAGAAATAATTGTAACAGAATGCTGTTACGAAGTCTCCCAAACAAAGCTCCATTAATTCGTCATTCCCATTGTCGCTTGACATTGGGCAATGTCAAAAGGGGGGTGATCCCCTGGGGACTCTCCCTTTATTTCATATGTTTTGTTTTTTTGTCCCGTACAAGAATATATATGGTTTAGGGGTGGGGATCTCTACCGTTTACAAGTTCTCAAACAGGAGGGGGTGGGGGTGACCCCAGGGGACTCACCTTTTATTTCATATGATTTGTTTTATTGTCCCATACAAGAATATACATAGTTTCAGGGTGTGGATCTTGACCGTTTACAAGTTTTCAAAAAGAAAGGGGGTTGGGGGAGACCCCCATGGACTTCCCCTATATTTCATTTGATTTGTGTTATTGTCCCATGCAATAATATATGGTTTCTGGGTAGGGATCTTGACCGTTTACAAGTTTTCAAAAAAAAAGAGGGGTGGGGTGACCCCAGGGGACTCCCCCTCAATTTCATTTGATTTGTTTTATTGTCCTATTCAAGAATATATATGGTTTAGGGGTGGGGATCTTGACTGTTTACAAGTTATCAAAAAGAAGGGGGATGGGGATGACCCCCATGGACTTCCCCTATATTTCATTTGATTTGTTTTATTGTCCCATTCAAGAATATATATGGTTTAGGGGTGGGGATCTCAACCGTTTACAAGTTTTTAAACAGGATGGGGTGGGGTGACCCCAGGGGATCCGCCTTTTATTTCATTTGATTTGTTTTATTGTCCCATACCACAATATATATGGTTTCAGGGTGGGGATTTTGACCGTTAACAAGTTTTCAAAAAGAAGGGGGTGGGGGTTCCCCCCATGGACTTCCCCTATATTTCATTTGATTTGTGTTATTGTCCCGTACAAGAATATATATGGTTTAAGGGTGGAGATCTGGACCGTTTACAAGTTTTCAAAAAGAAGGGGGGTGGGGGTGACCCCCATGGACTTCCCCTAATAGGATGGGGTTGGGGTGACCCCAGGGGACTCGCCTTTTATTTCATTTGATTTGTTTTGTTGTCCCATACAAGAAAATATATGGTTTGAGGGTGGGGATCTTGACCGATTACAAGTTTTCAAAAAGAAGGGGGGTGGGGGGTGACCCCCATGGACTTCCCCTATATTTCATTTGATTTGTGTTAATGTCCCATACAAGAATATATATGGTTTAGGGGTGGGGATCTCGACCATTTACAAGTTCTCAAACAGGAGGGGAGTGGGGGTGACCCCAGGGGACTCACCTTATATTTCATGCGATTTGTTTTATTGTCCCATACAAGAAGATATATGGTTTCGGGGTGGGGATCTACAGTTTACAAGTTTTCAAAAAGAAGGGGGGTGGGGGTGAACCTGGGGACTCCCCAAATATTTCATTTGATTTGTTTTTTTTTGTCCCATACAAGAATATATATGGTTTAGGGGTGGGGATCTCATTTACAAGATAAAAGCACAATCTCAAATTGAAGGGGGATGGGGGTAAGAATATATATGGTTTAGGGAGACTTAATTATCTACAAAATGTCTAATAATGAACAGTAAATTTCAAATTTCATTTATACAGTCCTTCTAGTTAATTTCAAACTTTATATATACAGTCCTACAGATCTTATCAGGAAACAGAATTTTTTCAAATAAATCTGTCACTCCAATGATATTATATGCTAAGATATAACCCAGATCTAATTAATGATTAATAATGTAATTAACTTCAAAATGTCTAATAATATAGCTTATAATCATTACCACTTAGGAAATAGATAATTTTCAAATAAATCTGTCACTCCAATTTTTATTGTGAGATAAGACATTATGCTTAGTCATAAAAAAGATAACAAGAGTAAAATATTTAAAAATTCCACTTTTGGATTTTAAAAATGGCGATAACTCACAAAGGAGATATACTAAAATCTTGACAATTGAACTAGACCTTCATTAAGTCCCAGGAAACAACATATTTAAATTTGAAAAAAAATTCCTGAACCGTTTGGGCAATTACCCCCAAACTCAATCCCAGCCTTCCCTTTGTGATACAATTTCTGAGAGATCTATAAACTAACACACAAGTTATTTTCCGGAAACTACAAAAATGCTTGTTTTTGGCCCCTAATTCCTAAACTGTTGGTACCATAACCCCCAAAATCAATCCCAACCTTCCTTTTGTGGTATTGAACCTTCTGGTAAAATTTCTTAGAGATCCATTCACTTCAACTAAAGTTATTGTCCGGAAACCAAATGTGTCTTTGGAAGACGCTGACGCAGACACCGAGGTCGATGATGAGGTTGACGACACCATAGCATTATACAACGGAAAAATTTTTTTTTGCGGTCGTATGAAAAGGAAATATATTTAATACTCAAAGTAATAGAAAAATTTGGTACAAGCTCAGGGTTAAAAATAAGGCTTAAATTAAAATATTGTTTGTTTGCAGTTTACCAACCGACCTTCGAAAATCCGCCCCCCTGTGAAAATTTTATTGCTTTTAGCCTAATTTGAAGAAATTATTTTTAATACTTCCATTGAAGCGATCCAGAACTTCTGGTCGTTTCCGGAATTATTTAAAGTCTAGGTCGATTACACGTTTCAAGTTCGTTTCTCTTACTTTCCTGTCAAGCGTTCATGGGACAGTTTAATGATAAAGCACATAGCAATTGTTTACAGGTATCTATGAAGGTACCAGTCTTGTATTACAACTCCAGTTTCCGGTGCGTCAAAACATGGAGGGAAATAAAATAGTCCATTTTTTTCTGAATTTTTTTCTGGACTCAATTTTTTCTGTTTGATTAAAAGTTTATACTGAATTGAAACATATATATAGATTTTTAAAAAATCTTGCATCTTTTTGGGGATATCAATCAAGGAAAGTGGAAGGATATCATGTTTACTGCCTAGTAAAAACAGCAAACAGAAAGTAGAAAAAAAATAGTTTTGACTTCAGGGTTACATAACTTTTTATTCTTCGTGGCATGACCCGCTTTTTTTCCGATTAAATCACAATTTCACATTAGTACATACATGATATGAACATGAAATTTGTTTTCTATGTAGCATTTTTTATCAAAGATCAGCTGTTTAGCATGTAGGCCTATGGAGCCGTCAATTACAAAACTGCAATCTGAAGTCATGGAGGAGTACTTTACACTTTCGTCTTCTGTCAATTTTGAGACAAATAACAAACAAATAAATGTGGATAGTGTCCACATGTGTCCACAGATGATGCCCCCACTTGCATATCATATAGTTATAAAGGGACATAACTGAAGAACGATAAAATTGACGCTACCCAAATTTGAACTTGATCTGAGTTTTGTGGCATTGTGTGTAAGTCTCATAACATTTGGTTGAGGCTAGCTTAAGAAGAGAACAGAAACTAAAAATTCAGCAATTTTTCTATTTGTAAACACGCATAACTCTAGAATGGTTGTGTATAAGTTTTATAACATTTGGTTGAGACAAACTAAAATAAGAGAACGGAAACGAAAAATTCAGCAATTTTCATGTTTATAAAGGGACATAACTCAAGAATAGTGAAAGTGTCGCCACCAAATTTAGTACTTAATCTGTATTATGTAGTAATAAGCATTGTGTATAAGTTTCATATAATTTGGTTTAGGCAAACTTAAGTTAGAAAACGGAAACAAAAAATCTGTACTTGATCTAAGTTTTGTGGTAATGAATATTGTGTTTAGGTTTTATAATGTTTGGTTGGGGCAAACTTAAGTTACAGAATGGAAACTAAAAATTTTGCAATCTTTCGATTTATAAAGGGGCATAACTCAATAATGGTTAAAGTGACACTACCCAAATTCAACTTGATTTGTGTTTAATCCGTGGAAGTCAAAATTAAACATTGCATTGTATAAAGCATTGATTGTAGATTCAACTATAATCATGGACAAAGGAAGATAACTCCAATTTTAAAAATTACTTGATATTTAGAAGAAACTAAAAATTGCAGAATTTTTCCATTTATAAAGGGGCACAACTCTAGAACGGTTAAAGTGACGCCACCAAAATTCAAACTTGATCTGTGTTTTGTGGTAATAAGCATTGTGTATAAGTTTCATAACATTTGGTTGAGGCAAACTTAAGTTAGAGACAGAAACTAAACATTTTGCAATTTTTCCATTTATAAAGGGGCATAACTCTAGAACGGTTATAGTGACGCCACAAAAATTCAAACATGATCTGTGTTTAGTAGTAATAAGCATTGTATATAAGTTTCATAACATTTGGTTGAGGCAAACTCAAGTTAGAGAACAGAAACCAATTTTGGGACATACGTACATATGTACGTACGTATAGACTGACAAGGGTAAAACTTAATGCCACCACCGCCACGGCGGGGGCATAAAAAGTTTAATAGTAAACTGTTTATACAGATTCAGACAGAGTTGCACATGGAATGATGTCTTCGATGACATCATTGACAATGATGCAGCAGATATTAATAAAACCGACACGATAACCGTTTCTGTCTCAAACAAATCGGGTACAGAATCTTTTGAGCCTGACTTTATGGAACCAATATCAGTGGTTAAACAATTCCACAGCAGCCTGAAGTATGCAATATTTTCTATTAATCATTGTGAAGACGACAAAGATGAAACCACTCCTCCATGACTTCATGGATACCTGTAAATTAGTCCGAGATTCCTCTGACGTCAAACGGCTGTTTTGCCAGACAGGCTTGGGCCGTGGGACGCCCCAGCTAAAGTTAGAGTGCAAAAACCAATGTGTCTTAGATCAACGACGACGCCAACGTCATATCAATATACGATCGCAAAATTTTTTTGCGGTCGTATAGAAACGTGAAACGAAAAACACTTATGAACAACATCAACAAACGACAACTACAGAACATCAGATTCCTGACTTAGGACAGGTGCAAACAATTACAGCGGGTTTAAACGTTTTAATGGTACCAAACCTTCACCCTTATCTGAAACAATAGTGTAACATCACAACATAGAAAGACACACGATAAAATATCAATTGAAATGGCTTAACTCAATCAAAAGACATATTAACACCAGTGAACATACACTGAACAAATAAATTTGATCTATGATACAATGTAAAAACAGCCTTGTTTTTAAGAATTGGATTGATAGTAACATAAACTGTTTTCACAGCGATATGTCTCGCCTTTTTGTATTTTGATAATGCAAATGTTGAAATTAAAATTGCAATACTTTAACATGTAAGTAATGCAAATATTCAAAGTCGATGACCCATGACTGAAGGTACATGGCTAAACAATCTCCATGGAATGAGATGTGCCAATGCTAATACAACTGCATACCAAATACCATTGACTTATTATAAGTCGTTCCCATTAAACAAACCTAAACACAAACATTCACTTGTAAACTATGTAAAAGTTTCAAAGTCAATGAACCATGATCAGGGGTGGGGCTATATATATTCTCCATGGAAACGATACTTGCAAATGCCAATAAATTTGCATACCAAATATCAATGACTTAACATTAGCAGTTCATCTTAAACTGATCTAATCACAAACTAATACATGTAAACTAAGCAAAAGTTTCAAAGTAAATAGACCATGACTGAGGGGGTGGGGCCAAATATTCTCCATGGAAATGAGATGTGCTAATGCTTATACAACTGAACACCAATTAACATTAGCCTACCACTAATGGTTCCCCTTGAACTGACCTAAACACACAAACTAATACATGTAAACTTAGCAAAATTTTCAAAGTCTATAGACCATGACTAAGGGGGCGGAGCCAAATAATCTCCATGGAAATGAGATATGCCCATGCTTATACAACTGCATACCAAATATCTTTGACCTACCACTAGTGGTTCCTCATAAATTGACCTAATCACAAACTAATATATGTGACCTACCACTAGTGGTTCCTCATAAATTGACCTAATCACAAACTAATACATGTTAACTATGAAAAGTTTCAAAGTCAATAGACCTTGACTGAGGGGACGGGGCCAAATAATCTCCATGGTAATGAGATGTGCCAATGCTAAGACAACTGCATACCAAATATCATTGACCTACCACTAGTGGTTCACCATGAACTAGACCTAATCACAAACTAATACATTGTTGACGCCGCCGTCGCCACCGGAAACAGCATACCTATGTCTCGCTTTTTGACTCTGTCAAGGCGAGACAAAAATATATCAATGACATATTAGATACCAATGAGAAAATATCAGAAAAGGTGTTACTTAAGAAATTAAAAAACAAAACTAATTGGATAACTGAACTGCTAAAACTTAAAACTAGAGGCTCTCAAGAGCCTGTGTCGCTCACCTGTATTTACTGATGCTTTGGAAATCTTGTAAAATAAGGTTAAAATCATAATTAATAGTATTAGATATTATAATGATATCTAAGATAATAACAAAAAACTGCAAAATTTTTGTAAAAAAAACTAACTCAGGTGCAGCAACCCAACAAAGGGTTGTCGGATTCGTCTGAAAATTTCAGGGCAAATAAATCTACATCTGATAAACATTTTTGCCACCTATCAGATTTGCTCTAAATGCTTTAGTTTCAGAGATATAAACCAAAATCTGCATTTTACCCCTATGTTCTATTTTTAACCATGTCGGCCATGATGGTTGGAAGGCGGGGTCATCGGACAAATTTTTTTAAACTAAATACCCTAATAATGATTATGGCCAAGTATGGTTAAATTTGTCTCAGTAGTTTCAAAGAAGAAGATTTTTGTAAAAGATTACAAAAATTTACGAAAAATTGTTAAAAATTGACTATTAAGGGCAATAACTCCTTAAGGGGTCGACTGACAATTTTGGTCATGACAACTTAATTGTAGATCTTACTTTGCTGAACATTATTGCTGTTTACAGTTTATCTCTATCTATAATAATACTCAAGATAATAACCAAAAACTGCAAAATTTCCTTAAAATTACCAATTCAGGGGCAGCAACCCAACAACAGGTTGTCAGATTTGTCTGGAAATTTTAGGGCAGATAGATCTTGACCTGATAATCAGTTTTACTCTAAATGCTTTGGTTTCAGAGATATAAGCCAAAATCTACATTTTACCCCTATGTTCTATTTTTAACCATGGCAGCCATATTGGTTGGTTGGCGGGGTCATCGGACACAATTTTTAAACTAGATACCCTAATGATGATTGTGGCCAAGTTTGGTTAAATTTGGCCCAGTGGTTTCAGAGGAGAAGATTTTTGTAAAAAGCTAACGACGACGAAGCCGACAGACGACGGACACCAAGTGATGAGAAAAGCTCACTTGGCCCTTTGGGCCAGGTGAGCTAAAAAGCCATTCCAAATTACCAATAATATGAAAAACAAAGATTGTGTGTGAGAATTCAGTTATGACTTACAAAAACATTGCAAGACAAATAGCATGTAATGTACATACTAAAGAGTTTTCTCCCTTTACACAATAAAAATCACTGATTTCTTGCATAATGGGTTACGATGTTTTTATTATTGTCGCATAGAAATAAGTATGGGACACAAGGCGGTTTTCTAAATTAGTAATATATCTTCTTACGCTGAATTTTGAGGAAATCATACATGTTGAAGCATCTAATTTCATTGAACATTTAATTCAGAATAATACCAAAGATTAAAGATATTTTTTGAATATATATATATATATACACAAATACAAGTAAACATATAAAGTCATTTTTATCTAAGTGGCACACTAATTATTTTAGAAATTTACCTTGATAAAATATGATAGACAAATTTTAAATCCACCGGAAAGAAACATGTGTAGAGTTTATAAATAAATTACTGTAAATAACAAGAGTGCACACGCTGAAATGTCTTGCCTTCTTTACTAATCATTGATATTATGTTGATAGCCCTAAATATAAAGCTTTCTTACAACTGTCACATAAACTTAACATTAACCAAGAAAACTAAACATTGAACAATGAACCATGGAAATGAGGTCAAGGTCAGATGAACCATGCCAGGCAGGCATGTACAGCTAACAATTCTTCCATACAACAAATATAGTTGACCTATTGCTTATAGTTTAAGAAAAACAGACCAAAACACAAAAACTGAACACTGAGCAATGAACTGTGAAAATGAGGTCAAGGTCAAATAAAAACTGTGCGACTGACATAAAGATCATAAAATACTTCCATACACCAAATATAGTTGACCTTTTGCATATAGTATAAGAAAAAAAGACCAAAACTCAAAATCTTAACTTTGATCACTGAACCATGAAAATGAGGTCAAGGTCAAATGACACCTGCCAGTTAGACATGTACACCTTACAATCATTCCATACACCAAATATAGTTGACCTATTGCTTAAAGTGTAAGAAAAACAGACCAAAACACAAAAATGTAACATAAGCAATGAACCATGAAAATGAGGTCAAGGTAAAATAAAACCTGCCAGACTGACATGTACATCATTAAATATTTCCATACACCAAATATAGTTGACCTACTGCATATAGTATTAGGAAAACAGACCAAAACACAAAACTTAACATTTAGCAATGAACCTTGAAAATGAGGTCAAGGTCAAATAAAACATGCCAGACTGACATGTACATCGTAAAATATTTTCATACACCAAATATAGTAGACCTACTGCATACAGTATTAGAAAAACAAACCAAAACACAAAAAATTAACATTGAGCAATGAACCGTGAAAATGAGGTCAAGGTCAAATAAAACTTGCCAGACTGACATGAACATCGTACAATATTTCCATACACCAAATACAGTTGACCTATTGCATACAGTATTAGAAAAACAGACCAAAACACAAAAACTAAACTATGACCACTGAACCATGAAAATGAGGTCAAGGTCAGATGACACCTGCCAGTTGGACATGTACCCCTTACTATCATTACATACACCAAATACAGTAGACCTATTGCTTATAGTATCTCAGATATGGACTTGACCACGAAAACTTAACCTTGTTCACTGATCCATGAAATGAGGTCGAGGTCAAGTGAAAACTATCTGACGGGCATGAGGACCTTGCAAGGTACGCACATACCAAATATAGTTATCCTATTACTTATAATAAGAGAGAATTTAACATTCCAAAAAATCTGAACTTTTTTTTCAAGTAGTCACTGAACCATGAAAATGAGGTCAAGGACATTGGACTTGTGACTGACGGAAACTTTGTAACATGAGGCATCTATATACAAAGTATGAAGCATCCAGGTCTTCCACCTTCTAAAATATAAAGCTTTTAAGAAGTTAGCTAACGCCGCCGCCGCCGTAGCCGCCGGATCACTATCCTTATGTCGAGCTTTCTGCGACAAAAGTCGCAGGCTCGACAACAAACCGTAAACGGAGAAAACAGATATCCACAAAATAAATGTAATAATGCACTTTATCTGTGTATAGTACGCATTTTTTACCCCCAAAAAAGTAGTTGGTAGAAGGGGTGCCTATTATACACGACTACAGACAGTTTTTATTTTTTTTTTTTTTTTTTTTTTTTTATTAATAGCGTTTTTTTCTTTATTATTGGATATGTTCAAGACGTTTTTTATTTTATTTCTTAATTTATAATTAAAAAAAAAAGGTTTTTTTTCTTCTTCATTGAATACACAAGTACTTGTGTGACATCCTGCACGAGTGAGCTTAAAATGTAATTAAGTGCCAATTTGACTAAGAATCAGGCAGTGGTGAAAACATGACAAACAAAAACTCCCACTAAAGTTGACATTACTTTATGTTCAAAATGTATAATGGTGCACGAATATATCATTCGTTACCTTTTCCTGTTCTGGTAATTCAAGATATAGTTTGGTTGAAATGCACTAGAAATTAACAATTAATAATTTGCAACCATTCTAACCAAAAGTTATCTAGAGATTTCTCGAATTACCAGACACATAGAAATGAAAGACCAACCATTTCTTATTCAGAATGAGGGTGTCTTCAGAATAGCATGGTTAGGTCGATGGTTTTTTTCGGCTATGTTTTGATTTTTTTCAAAATTGCCTGATTCTTACAAAGACTTGCACTTAAGGATTAAGTATGGGTGTGTAGCAATTGAATAATCATGTCAACTTTTGACAGGTGTTCAATGTAATAACCTCAGGCAGTGCTCTAATTCAACATGATTAATGAAAAGGAAATATCAGTTTAAAGAGCCATTAAATTTTAATTACTGCTAATCAACTTTTGTTTGAGGTCTAACTTCTTTTGTTCCATAACATTCTAATTATTTCTTTTATAATATTTGAACACTACATCAGCTTGGGACAAGCTTAGACAAACATTGATTTCAAAAGAGATCTTTATTAATAACTTTACTTTTATAAAATTAATAAATGTTAATTACATGATAAAAGCTCTACCATTTAATTGTTTGTGACTTAAAAATTATTTGATTGAACTATCAATCCTATTATTTTTATCTTTTTCTTTCAATAGACTTAAATGAAGATTAAATACATGATTTAATTGTTCCCTATTAAAAGCTTTTTACAGTGAACTAGACTTAAAAAAAAAATTAAAAAAATATTTTATTTGCTCTTTCTTTTCACGATTTTGGAGGGATGAAAAGGGGGTGCGTATTATACACAACCGCGTACTATACACAGCTAAATATGGTAGGTTCAACCGGAAAAGCTTAGTTTTAAAGAGTATCCTGTTTTCAGAAGTTTTATAAATATCTGAACATGCACTCAAAAGAACCAATCTATATAAAAAGATCCGCCCAGCCACCCACCGTACATCACCATTTTAATAACCGATATTTCCTTCGAAAATCCGGTATCTAAAAATATGTAGATATATATATATATGTAGAATAGAGAATGGAAACGGGGAATGTGTGACAGAAACAACACGACAAAAGAGGTCCAAGGTCACTAAGGGTCTTCAATGCAGCAAGAAAATTCCGCACCCGTAGGCAGCTTCAGCTGGCCCCTAAACAGTAATTTATACTAATTCAGTAAAGTAAACACAGAACTGAGAAATTTATAAATGAACTAAAATTAAACAAGCATTCTGAGAGTATTGCATGGCAATACATAGTCCCCTACCGGTTAAAAATTCATTGTACTGGAACAAAATGCTAACTTGATCTATAACTTGTCATGGTGTAAACTATATAACAAATATCAAGTCAATATCTTCAAGCATGATGGAAAAAAGTGTGGAAAACTGATTATTTAAGTGACTTTTCTAAGTCCAAGGACCATAACTGTGCACAAAATCATCAGACCGGAACAAAATTCAAACTTGATCTGTAACTTGTCATGATAAAACTATATACAAATTATCAAATCAATATCTTCAAGCATGACAGAAAAAAAGTGTGGAAAACTGATTTGCCGGACTGACGGATGGACGGACTGATGGATGGATGGATGGACAGACAAACAGACAGACAGACGGAGCCAAACCTAAAGTCCCCTTCGACGGTAGGGGACTAAAAAAACACAAGACAAACAAAGGCTAGAGGTTCCTGACTTGGACCCAAAATTGTGGCGTGGTAAAACAGATACCAGGATTAAATTTTTGCATGTCACCCCTGCGTTTCAGTCATAAGACCATGTCTGAGGAGGCATAGCCATATATTATCTCCCTGAAAATGAGATCTGAAATTCAGGGATCACAATGACCTATTGAAGAGTGGTGGTGTGCCACACTTGAATTTCCCTCTGCCACCTTTGATTTTCATGCACAACACTTAATTTTTTGTCCCCCATGCTTCAAAAATCAATAGATCGTAGTTAAATACTGTATACCTCTAACCTAATTATCATTTCAGTGGCAAATTAGCGATCTAATTAGCATTTAATGGTGCAAACAGTGCCTCCAGGAATGTTTACATTGACAACTGATTACATTTTTACAGCGGATGACCGTGAGGGCATTCCGGTGTTATGTTGCCGCAGACATTTCTACCCATGTGACTTGCGTTTTTGACTGATAACCGAACGTATTTCGTATAATTACGCGGATATTATCGAGTGCAAAATAACATTCCTTATCGCTTGTTATATATCAGGGTTGTAATGGGGGTACATTCATGATGAATAACGGTAAAAATTCCTGCCAAAAGACGTTAACGGTAATTTTTGGTGCATGATGATAAAATGTACACTTTCTTTTAGACTATAAAAAAATTGACTGATTTTGACGAATCACGCTAATTTTTTTCCAAAAATAACGATAACCATATCTAATTGAGACCTCTGACGAATCACAATAAGGATATTTTGACAAATCACAGTAAAAATTTAACCAATTTGACACTAACGGTAGCCAAAAATGACTGTTTGACGCCTGACGGTAAAGGTCATTCCTACCCTCATGTATTAATTTGATCAATAAATATTCGTGAACATAATTTTTAAGAACATAGATAAATAATATCAAAATGTTTTGTCGGGAGAAATATATATATCAATAACAAATCAAGAATACCAAAAATTTGTATTAACGCGGAAGAACATCTCAAGACGTTTTGCAACAAACACCCGAAAATATGAATGCTACTCAAATCCAATCTATTACAAAAACGAATTATTACAGAAGAATGTCCACCATGCACTTGCACTGCACTATCATTAGTATAGAAGAATAGAATGATACTGAATTCCCTGTCATTTATTCATCATCCGCACCAGAACTTGCGGTCATTCGATGTTCAGTACTTCAGTACTTTGATTACCTTGTGGTGGGGCCTCCAGGAATGTTTACGTTGACAACTGATTGCAAGTTTACCTTGTAATGGGGGTTGAACTTTTACAACATAGACAAAATATATATGTATTGGCAATTTAGATATATCGATGCAATTAAAATGAATAAATATCATCATTTTAGATCAGTTGGAGTAATTTTTAAACAGATTATATATCAGTGACCGCTGTGGATAGTAAACTTGGAAATGATAATAAATAGCAAATACAAGTTATTTGTGGTATCTTTATCTTCGTATAATACAGAAAGAGGCGAAAATAATTGAAATTAATAGAAAACAAAAAAATAACGGATTTTGGAAAAAAGAGGGAGGGCAAAAAACAAAAAAAAGTCCTGTCCCCAAGTACCTATGAACTAATCATGGAAATTAAATTTTAAAATGAACAAAGGAAAGTTACATTAAGAAAGAAAACTGTGCCCAAAATAAAAATTCGAAATACATGGTTAGATTCGGAAATGCTTATACATCTGCATACCAAATATCAGACGTTACTTTTATTGGTTCTCCTCTAACTGACCTAACACAAACTTAAACAATTGCTTATGCAAGCAACACAATTACTGGAATCAAAATGAGTGGGTCAAAATTACATTACTTACCACAGGGGAGACTAAAACTGAAACTAGCAGGACATTACTGATTGTTATCTTCCTTTAAACTGTATTGACTCCTTAAGTTATGTTGCAAATCAGCTTTTCTGTATAGGTACTTTAACTGTTATGAGAAATACTTAATCACAATGATGTTTACCTGAGAAAGTGTACTTTGAATGAAGGGCCTTTGAAGGCCATCCCAACAGACCCAAACATTAGTTCCTCCAATACTTTTACATCTGATCCCATTTTTCTGGTGAGCTGAAATTCATAAATTATGCACATGTAAATAAATATGAATTAAATGCTGCCTACAAAGTCATCTCAAAATTGGAATAACAATTCCAAAAAAAAGGTCAGAATTGATCCTAATAAACTAAAAATGTTTCCCAATAAACATAAAATGCTCCGCTGGGCACAGCCTGATACGACCCAGAGGTCGAACCCTGAACAGTTGGGGCAAGTATGGACACAACATTCAAGCTTGATACAGCTCTGAATTTGGATTGTGATTAAATATTTAACACAGCATAGGTTTCTGACACTGAATGAATGTGGTCTAAGAACTTAAAATTTTTTTAATTTACCTATTATGGTCCAATATCCAAAATCTAAATACATACACGGTTAGATTCAGCATATCAAAGAACCCCAAGAATTCAATTTTTGTTAAAATCAAACTAAGTTTAATTTTGGACCCGTTTGACCTTAATGTAAACCAATTTGAAAACGGGACCAAAAATTAAGAATCTAAATACTAGGTAAGATTCAGGATATCAAAGAACCCTAATATTTAAATTTTTGATGAAATCAAACCTTATCATTATTATTTGCTTTAATATATAAAAATCAAAAATAACCAACTTAAAATGGAACATTTAAAAAAAAAAAAAAGGAAAAAATCCCCCCCCTAATTTTTTTAACCCCCTTATGATTCATCACCTCCAAACTCAATCCCAGCCTTCCCTTTGTGGTATGGTACCTTGCAGTACAATTTCAGAGAGATCCATACACTTTAACACAAGTAATTGTCTGGAAACTGTAAAAATGCTTGTTTTTTTACCCCTTTTTGGCCCCAAATTCCTATACGTTTGGGGCAATTACCCCCAAACTCAAACCCAGCTTTCCCTTAGTGAAATGGAACCGTGTAGTACAATTTCATAAAGATCCATACACTTACACTTAAGTTATTGTACTGAAACTAGAAAAATACTTGTTTTTTGCCCATTTTTTGCCCCTAATTCCTAAAATTTTAAGGCAATTTCCCCATAAATCAATCCCAGCCTTCCCTTTGTGATATGTTCCGGAACCTTGTAGTACAATTTCAGAAAGATCCATACACTTACACACAAGTTATTGTCTGGAAACTAGAAAAATGCTTGTTTTTTGCCCCTAATTCCTAAAATTTTGAGGCAATTACCCCCAAAATCAATCCCAGCATTCCCATTGTGATATGGAACCTTGTGGTACAATGTCAGAGAGAGATCCATACACTTACACACAAGTTATTGTCTGGAAGTTACAATAAAATGCTCCGCTGGGGCGCAGCTTGATACGACCGCAGAGGTCGAACCCTGAACAGTTGGGGCAAGTATGGACACAACATTCAAGCTTGATACAGCACTGAATTTGGATTGTAATTAAATATTTGACACAGCATAGGTTTCTGACACAGAATGAATGTGGTCTAAGAACTTAAAAATTTTCAATTTACCTATTCAAACCATATAACTATTATTTGCTTTTATATATAAATCAGAAATAACCAATTTAAAATGGAAAATTTTAAAGAAAAAAAAGGAAAAAAAATCCCCCCCAATTTTTTGAACCCCCTTATGATTCATCACCCCCAAACTCAATCCCAGCTTTCCCTTTGTGGTATGGTACCTTGCAGTACAATTTCAGAGAGATCCATACACTTGAACACAAGTTATTGTCTGGAAACTAGAAAAATGCTTGTTTTTTGGCCCCTTTTTGGCCCCAATTTCCTAAACGTTTGAGGCAATTACCCCCAAACTCAAACCCAGCTTTCCCTTTGTGATATGGAACCTTGCAGTACAATTTCATAAAGATCCATACACTAACACACAAGTTATTGTCCTAAAACTAGAAAAATGCTTGTTTTTATGCCCCTTTTTGGCCCCTTATTCCTAAAATTTAGAGGCAATTACCCCCAAAATCAATCTTAGCCTTTCCTTTAGTGGTATGGTACCTTGCAGTACAATTTCAGAGAGATCAATACACTTGAACACAAATTGTCTGAAAACTAGAAAAATGCTTATTTTTGGTCCCCTTTTGGCCCCTTATTCCTAAACGTTTTGAGCAAATTACCCAAACTTAATTCCAGCTTTCCCTTTGTGATATGGAACCTTGTAGTATAATTTCAGAAAGATCCATACACTTACACACAAGTTATTGTCATGAAACTAGAAAAATGCTTGTTTTTTGCCCCTTTTTGGCCCCTTATTCCTAAAATTTGGAGGCAATTACCCCCAAAATCAATCCCAGCATTCCTTTTGTGATATGGAACCTTATGGTACAATGTCAGAGAGATCCATACACTTACACAAAAGTTATGTCTGGAAGTTACAAAAATACTTATTTTTGGCCTCTTTTTGGCCCCTAATTCCTTAACTGTTGGTACCATAACCCCCAAAATCAATCCCCACCTTCCTTTTGTGGTATTGAACCTTATGGTAAAATTTCATAGAGATCCATTCACTTAAACTAAAGTTAGAGTGCGAAAACTAATGTGTCTTCGGACGACGCCCGACGACGACAATGCCAACGTCATACCAATATACGACCACAAAATTTTTTTGGCAGTCGTATAAAAACTATGTAGCTATTAAATGTGTTCAAAGTATTAAATTTTCAAAGAACTTATTGCGTTAAAAAAGGGATTTTTTACCACGAGGTGCCGCATCACGAAAGGATGTTCGGGTATGCTAATTTACGGAAAAAGTAATCTCACTTCGTACCCCGAAAATTTAACCACATATGTGAAAATGTCACAGCTTCGAAATGAGCTATCATACATATCCAAGTTTACGATATGGACTGAGCTACAGGAAAAAACCTTACCATTACCGCCTATGGAAAAACAATTAAAGATGTTGACCCAAGTATGGACACAACATTCAAGCTTGATACAGCACTGTTTTTTTTTAACATAATAATCATGTAAATTTTTTTATTGTGTGTTTTCTTTGATTTCGATCACTTAGATGTAATGCCATAATGTAGCAGTGCAAAAGCAATGAAGGTGATTGTGTATTTTTGAAAGAACTGGCTTCATTTTTATGGACAGTTTTCGTGCTGAAAAAAAGCAATAAAGAGATTGTGTATTTATTGAAAGGACTGGCTTCCTTTTAATTGACAGTATCGTGCTAGAGCAATGAAAGAGATTGTTCATTTTTGAAAGGACTGCTTCCTGTTGCAGGACAGTATCTTGACATGTTTTACATATCTAAGAACACATTTAGAGCATATATTTATAACACTTTTTTTAATTACCATGTACTTTGATGGTACATGTTTCTTGTTCATTGATAAATCTCCATCGGAACATATCAATCTGTTCTGTATACATCCTTTCTTCCTTAGATGACAACCCTGAAATTATAAACAATACCCACTGGTAGGGTAGACATGGTAAACAGTTGTTATAAAAATATAAGCTCAGAAGCCTAAGATGATTAATAAAATGCTTTGCTAAGCGCAGCCTGGTACTACCGCAGAGGTCGAACCCTGAACAGTTGGGGCAAGTTTGGACACAATATTCAAGCTTGATACTGTCTGAATTTTAGATTATGATCAAATTTTTGACATAATATAGTCTCTGACACAAAATAAATGTGGTCAATTTCCCACTCAAAGATCTTAAAAATTTGAAATGGGACATTTAATTTACCTAGAATGGTCTGATATCCAAAATCTAACAGCATGGTTAGATTCAGCATATAATAAATGGGAAATGTGTCCATGGGACACAGATGATGCCCCCGCTTCCATATCATATAAAGTTATAAAGTGACATTACTGAAGAACGGTATTAGTGACGCTACCCAAATTTGTACTTGATCTGAGTGTTGTGGTAATAAGTATTGTGTATAAGTTTCATATCATTTGGTTGAGGCAACCTTAAGTTACTGTTAGACATGGTACATGGTTTCTACAGTTAAAGATGGGCTTCAAAAATATTGTGATGCGATATATTCTACCAGTGGTGTTAACCAGATGTGGATTCTCAAAAATTCGAAAGATCTACTGCTTAATCTTCGATCACAATCTTTGCAATTTTGCAGCAACATAAAGACTTTTGATTTTTCTACGCTTTACACTACTATTCCCCATGCTCAGTTGAAAGATCGACTTCACCATCTCATTAAACAGAGCTTTTTCTATAAAAATGGGAATCGTAGATACAAATTTCTTGTTTTGGGTTACAATAATTCATATTTTGTGAAAAACCACACTGAATCTACCAGAAAGTATACTGAAGATGATATTATCAAAATGCTGGACTTTTTGATCGACAATATATTTGTTGAGTTTGGAGGATTTATATTTCAACAGACAGTCAGTATTCTAATGGGAACTAATTGGGCACCCCTACTGGCCGATTTGTTTTTGTACTCGTATGAAGCAGAATTCATTCAGAACCTTCTAAAAGACAAAAAGAAAAACGACCTTGCAAAATTCTTTAATTTTACTTTCCGATATATTGAATAACCCATATTTCAGCCAATACTTACATCTCATATATCCCAGTGAACTTGAAATTATGGATACCACTAATACTAGAAGGACTGCTTCATACCTTGATCTTTTCCTCAATATTGACACAGATGGACGACTTCAAACGAAAATCTATGATAAACGGGACGATTTCAACTTCCCAATTATCAATTTCCCATTTCTCAGCAGTAACATACCCTCTGCCCCTTTGTATGGTGTTTACATATGTTTACATGGTGTTTAGTGTGCTCCTTACGCAGAAACTGCTCCAACAAAGTTATGAGGAGGACAGATCAAAAATGACACTCCGTAAATTTTACGGACACCATCACGAATTGGTTGATCCATACGATGTGTCTTTGTCAAAACTAACTAAGGACATTTTTACCACATGTTAGATTGTGGTTTGTCATTACATCGTCTGATCTTTTAATCACCGAACGTGACTTATTCCCGATTGTGACTGTTTTGCTGAGTGTGAAACTGCTTTGCTATAAGACGTGTCACGGTACTTTTCTATCCCAAATTCATGTATTTAATTTTGATGTTATATTTGTTATTCTCGTCGGATTTTGTCAAATGTCTTAACGTCTTTTCTGTTATATTCGTGTGTTATGGTAAAGATAATTAATCACCCCCTTCATTTATTAGATATTAGTTTGGTTCAACGAAATTTATGATATACTTGAATTACAGTTTGATTCAGCAGAAACACCGACATAGCTAGATAATACAATTAATTATCTAATTACCACCACAATTTGATATTAATAGTATTGTAATTTTCATTGTTATTAATAAATGTAATGTCAGTATTACAGATCTAATCTTGAATCAATCCTAATTCTATCTTATTTTTGGGAAATATTTTTACAAATTCAAATGTGACGTCACTTTGTGTGTTTTTTTAGAATTTCAAATGTGACGTCACTTTGTGTGTTGAGGCTTTGTCTAACTCGGCTGTGTATTTTTATGTGTTGGATTAAGTTGTTTTATGTAATATATCAGTTTTTATTCTGTAGTTAGTCCCCACTTCGGTTTTATCATGTATATCTATTATTTAGTCATTTTATAAAATTTACTGTTTGCAAAAGTATATATTATTCTAAATAATAAGGATGTTCTTGTCCCAGGCAGAAAACCCTGGCCGTGTTAGGCGCAACTTTTTGGAAGTTTTGGTCCTCGGTGCTCTTCAGCTTTGTACTTGTTTTGGCTTTCAAACTTTTTTCATCTGAGCGTCACTGGTTAGTCTTGTGTGGACGAGACGCACGTCTGGTGTATTAAATTCTAAACCTAGTACCTTTTGTTAGCTATTATTCGTGTGTTTCTTTGTCCTATATGTTCTCCCATTTATTTGTATTCATGGTATTGTAGTCATGTCATGTAATGTTGTCATTTTAATGTTATATTTAAAATTGCCATAAAACGAGAGGTTTGGCATGCCACAAAACCAGGTTCAACCCACCATTTTTTTCTTAAAATGTTCTGTACCAAGTCAGGAAAATGGCCATTGTTATATTATAGTTCGTTTCTGTGTGTGTTACATTTTAATGTTGTGTTTTTGTTGTGTCGTTGTTCTCCTCTTATATTTGATGCGTTTCCCTCAGTTTTAGTTTGTAACCCGGATTTGTTTTTATCTCTATCAATTTATGAGTTTCGAACAGTGGTATACTACTGTTGCCTTTATTTAGAGAACAGAGATGAAAAATTCAGCAATTTTTCCATTTGTAAAGGGGCATAACTCTAGAACAGTAAAAGTGAAGCCACCAAAATTCAACCTTGATCTGTATTTTGTGGTAATAAGCATTGTGTATAAGTTTTATAACATTTGGTTGAGGTAAACTTAAGTTGTAGAACGGAAACGAAAAATTCAGCAATTTTTCCATTCGTAAATGGGCATAACTCTGGAACGGTGAAAGTGACACCACCAAAATTCTAACTTGATCTGTGTTTTGTGGTAATAAGCATTGTGTATAAGTTTTATAACATTTGGTTGAGGTAAACTTAAGTTGTAGAACGGAAACGAAAAATTCAGCAATTTTTCCATTCGTAAATGGGCATAACCATAGAACAGTTAAAATGACGCCACCAAAATTCATACTTGATCTGTGTTTTGTGGTAATAACCATTGCGTATAAGTTTCAGAATATTTGGTTGAGGCAAACTAAAGTTAGAGTACAGAAACCAACTTTGGGATGTACGGACAGACGTACAGACGGACAGACATACAGATGGACAATGGTAAAACTTAACATAACAGGGCGCAAAATAAAAAATCTAAATGCATAATAAGATTTAGCATATCATACAGCCGCAATCATTCAGTTTTTGATGAAATCAAACATAATTTAATTTGGACCCTTTTGACCTCAATGTAGACCAATTTAAAAATGGGGCCTAATATCCCAAAAAATAATACAAGGTTAGAACCCCAAAAAATTAAAGACTTTAAATTAATCCAATTGAAATTGGTTAAAAGATTTGTATTTATTTTCAATTGAAGATTTCTTGCTATTCCAAATTACTGTGCTATTGTGCAATACTGTGCAATTGAAGATTTCTTGCTATTGCGCAATACTGTGCAATTTAAGACTTCTTGCTATTGTGCAATACTGTGCAATTGAAGATTTCTTGCTATTAAGAAATACTGTGGCTGTGCTATTGCTCAATACTGGCCAATTGAAGATTTCTTGATATTGCACAATACTGTATAATTGAAGATTTCTTGCTATTGCGCAATACTGTGCAATTGAAGATTTCTTGCTGTTGCGCAATACTGTGCTATTGTGCAATACTGTACAATTGAAGATTTCTTGCTATTGCCAAATATTGTGCTATTGTGCAATACTTTGTTGTTGCGCATTACTATGCTATTGCGCAATACTGTGCAATTGAAGATTTCTTGCTATTGCGCAATACTGTGCAATTGGAGATTTCTTGCTATTGCGCAATACTGTGCAATTGAATATTTCTTGCTACTGCCCAATACAGTGCAATTGAAGATTTCTTACCATTATGCAATACTGTGCTACTGCTCAATACTGTACTATTGTGCAATACTGTGCTATTGCACAGTGCAATTGAAGATTTCTTACTATTGCGCAATACTGTGCTATTGAAGATTTCTTGCTATTGCGCAATACTGAGGAATTGGAGATTTCTTGCTATTTCGCAATACTGTGCAATCATTTGAAATTTCAAAAATTTTGAAGAAAAAAAATATAAACCCCCCAAATAAATTGGAAAAAAAAATCCCCCCAAACTTTTTGAACCCCCTCCCCCTTGGAGTTATTACCCCCAATTTAATCCCAGCCTTCTCTATGTGGTATCGAACCTTGTAGTACAATTTTAGAGAGATCCATACACTTAAACACAACTTACTGTCTGGAAACTAGAAAAATGCTTGTTTTTGGCCCCTAATTCCTGAACCGTTGATGCAATTACCCCCAAACTCAATCCCAGCTTTCCCTTTGTGATATGGAACATTGTGGTACAATTTCTGAGAGATCTATACACTAACACACAAGATATTGTCCGGAAACTACAAAAATGCTTGTTTTTGGCCCCTAATTCCTAAACTGTTGGTACCATAACCCCCAAAATCAATCCAAACCTTCTTTTTGTGGTATTTAACCTTCTGGTAAAATTCTTAGAGATCAATTCACTTAAAATAAAGCTATTGTCCGCAAACCAAATGTGTCTTCGGACGACGAAGAAGACGACGATGACGACTCAGAAGCCGACGACACCATAGCATAATACGACGCAAAAATTTTTTTGCAGTTGTATAAAAACTAATACCAGGGGCTGAGATTCAAATAAATGCTTTAAAAAGTTCAATTTCTTATCTTTCAGTGGAATGTATGCCTTTGCACAAAAAGATCCAAATGTATTTGCACCAACCGTAATCACCTGTTTTATGAAAATTTGTCTTTAATTTAAAAGTTTACAAATACCTTGAAGCTCCATACTATAATTTAAGTATAAATAAAATGCTTCGCTGGGCGCAGCTTGATACGACCGCAGAGGTCGAACCCTGAACAGTTGGGGCAAGTATGGACACAACATTCAAGCTTGATACAACTCTGAATTTGGATTGTGATTAAATATTTGACACAGCATAGGTTTCTGACACAGAAAGAATGTGGTCTAAGAACTTCAATTTTTTTAATTTACCTATTATGGTCCAATGTCCAAAATCAAAATACATGGTTAGATTCAGCATATCAAAGAACCCCATATATTCAATTTTTGTTGAAATCGAACAAAGTTTAATTTTGGACCCCAACTTGGACAAACTTGAAAACTGGTCCCATAATCAAACACATGTTTAGATTCAGCATATCAAAGTACCCCAAGAATTCAATTTTTGTTAAAATCAAACTAAGTTTAATTTTGGACCCTTTGGACCTTAATGTAGACCAATTTAAAAAACGGGACCCAAAATTAAAAATCTAAAAACACGGTTAGATTTGGCATATCGAAGAACCCCAATAATTGAATTTTTGATGAAATCAAACAAAGTTTAATTTTGGACCCTTTTGACCTCAATATGAACCAATTTGATAGCAGGCCCACAAATAAAAAATCTAAATACATGGTAAGATTCAGCATATCAAAGAACCCCATATATTCAATTTTTGTTGAAATCAAACAAAGTTTAATTTTGGACCCCAATTTGGACCAACTTGAAAACTGGGCCAAAAATCTAAAATCTGAATACATGTTTAGATTCAGCATATCAAAGAACCCTATATATTCAATTTTTGTTGAAATCAAACAAAGTTTAATTTTGGACCCCAACTTGGACCAACTTGAAAACTGGTCCCATTATCAAAAATCTAAACACATGTTTAGATTCAGCATATCAAAGAACCCCAAAAATTCAATTTTTGTTAAAATCAAACTAAGTTTAATTTTGGACCCTTTGGACCTTAATGTAGACCAATTGAAAAAACAGGACCCAAAATTAAAAATCTAAATACACGGTTAGATTTGGCATATCAAAGAACCCCAATAATTCAATTTTTGATGAAATCAAACAAAGTTTAATTTTGGACCCTTTTGACCTCAATATGAACCAATTTGATAGCGGGCCCACAAATAAAAAATCTAAATACATGGTAAGATTCAGCATATCAAAGAACCCCATATATTCAATTTTTGTTGAAATCAAACAAAGTTTAATTTTGGACCCCAATTTGGACCAACTTGAAAACTGGGCCAAAAATCTAAAATCTAAATACATGTTTAGATTCAGCATATCAAAGAACCCCATATATTCAATTTTTGTTGAAATCAAACAAAGTTTAATTTTGGACCCAACTTGGACCAACTTGAAAACTGGGCCCATAATCAAAAATCTAAACACATGTTTAGATTCAGCATATCAAAGAACCCCAAGAATTCAATTTTTGTTAAAATCAAATTAAGTTTAATTTTGGACCCTTTGGACCTTAATGTAGACCAATTTAAAAAACGGGACCCAAAATTAAAAATCTAAATACACAGTTAGATTCGGCATATCAAAGAACCCCAATAATTCAATTTTTGATGAAATCAAACAAAGTTAAATTTTGGACCCTTTGGACCTCAATGTGGACCAATTTAAAAACGGGGCCCAAAATCCAAAAACTTAATACACGGTTAGATTCAGCATATTAAAGAACCCCAAGAATTCAAGAATAAAACCCCATTGAAATTGATCAAGAAATAAGCAATTTATACGAAGTATCTTCTTTTGCACAATACTGTGCAATTGAATATTTCTTGCTATTGCGCAATACTGTACAATTGACAATTTCTTGCTATTGCGCAATATTGTGCTATTGGATATTTCTTGCTATTGCGCAATACTGTGCAATTGAAGATTTCTTGCTATTGCGCAATACTGTGCAATTGAAGATTTCTTGCTATTGTGCAATACTGTGCAATTGAAAATTTCTTGCTATTGCACAATACTTATTATATAATAATTTACACATCCTACCATATCATTATTATTTGCTTTTAAATATAAATCAGAAATAGCCAACTTAAAATGGAAAATTTTAAAAGAAAAAAAAAAGGAAAAAAAGAAGAAAAAAAAAAAAAAAATCCCCCCCCCAAAATTTTTTGAACCCCCTTATGATTCATCACCCCTAAACTCAATCCCAGCCTTCCCTTTGTGGTATGGTACCTTGTAGTACAATTTCAGAAAGATCCATACACTTACACACAAGTAATTGTCATGAAACTAGAAAAATGCTTGTTTTTGCTCCTTTTTTGGCCCCTAATTCCTTAAATTTTGAGGTAATTACCCCCAAAATCAATCCCAGCATTCCCTTTGTGATATGGAACCTTGTGGTACAATTTCAGAGAGATCCATACACTAACACACAAGTTATGTCTGGAAGTTACAAAAATGCTTATTTTTGGCCCCTTATTCCTTAACTGTTGGTACCATAACCCCCAAAATCAATCCCAACCTTCCTTTTGTGGTATTGAACCTTATGGTAAAATTTCATAGAGATCCATTCGCTTAAACTAAAGTTAGAGTGCGAAAACTAATGTGTCTTCGGACGACGACGACAACACCAACGTCATACCAATATTTGACCACAAAATTTGTTAGCGGTAGTATAAAAATTTGAAATCAAAATTCAAAACTGTCTTTATTTGCAGGGCCTTTATATACATGTAATAGTGAAATAAATTTCTTTGTATTGCTTCTCTTTGACAATGTTTGAGGAGATGTTTTAATTATAAAATATTGAAAAAATACTGTCAGCAGTTGCAAACACAAAATAATAACTAGTATCAAAATCTAGATCTGTCAATAGGACCAAGTTCCACAGAATTCCTTAAGTGATTTATGTTCAAATAAAGGATCTTCTCTCAAACCTGCTGGATTTCCAGGAAAATTTCAAAACGCTTAGCTCTGGCCTTCCAATCAATTTCCTTACAATCAATGCATTACATTGTATCTCCAAATTTGACAATTACTTACTATGACATTTTCTTATCTGTCATGACCTTTTACTATTCTGTAATAGCTACATGTACCACACAGTCCCAACAACTAATAGCAACCCTAGGGGACTATTAAAATTTACCTGCAATTCTTCCGTTTTCCTTACAGATGTAGAATCATATAAAATATTTCTATCTCGTTCATTATCGTGGTAAAGCACCAATCTTATTTTGGTACGTTCTAATTTTGGTGGTTTCCATCTAAAACAAAAGAGACTTTCATATCATTAATGATTTTCAAAAAAAACATCATTCATTAAAAAATAAAACTTTAATTGCTACCTTGTGTTCTTTTCTCTCAAATCAAACACTATTCCAAGCACAATAATTCTACATCCATTTTTCTTTTGAATTAAAGAACCTTAGTGAGTGCGCTCACATACCCCACGTCCCCACATTGTCACTGGAGAAATAAAATAACAGTAAGAAAAAAAAATTGAATCATAATTTCCTGTCGATATGCACATCTACATAGTATGTCCTTATTATCTAAAAATGTTTCATGAAATTCTGTTGTGTGGTTTGAGAGGAGTTGCGATGACAAACTGTTGCAGTAGTATAATGAAGCACATAAGTTCAAAGGGGCGTAACTCCTAGAAAAAAAATTGAATCATAATTTCCTGTCGATATGCACATCTGCATAGTATGTCCTTATTATCTAAAAATGTTTCATGAAATTCTGTTGTGTGGTTTCAGAGGAGTTGCGATGACAAACTGTTGCAGTAGTATAATGAAGCACATAAGTTCAAAGGGGCGTAACTCCTAGAAAAAAAATTGAATCATAATTTCCTGTCGATATGCACATCTGCATAGTATGTCCTTATTATCTAAAAAGGTTTCATGAAATTCTGTTGTCTGGTTTCAGGTTGCATTTCTGTAAATATTGACAATGCAATTTCTCATAGGAACTCCTTTTACGGCTCAAACTGTACCCCTTTTACTATGAAGTTTTGAAAAAAATCATATCCTAGAATGGAAAGTTCATATGCACTACAATTTTTTTCAAAGGTAAAAATATAGGGCTGTGCCGCATAATTTCAAAGTTTATATGCCCCCAACTTCTAAGAGTTTAAACTAACACTAAATTTCTGAACTATCAATACCTTGACTGCAGGATTACCACAGATTTCTATATAGACAATATGCATATGTATATTTACTGGTAACATTCCCAAGTTATGTCTCTATCAGATGAAACCTAGAGATCATAACTGGCATGACTGGGAACCAGTATGTAAACAAAATTAATTATCTATGAATATTCTATATCTCCCCAAAAGGGAGACGTGGTTTGAGAAACAGCTGTATTTACAAAGTGCAACCTTCAGAGGAGTTGCAATGACAAACTGTTGCAGTAGTATATTGAAGCAAATAAGTTCAAAGGGGCATAACTCCTAGAAAAATAAAATGCTCCGCTGGGCGCAGCTTGATACGACCGCAGAGGTCGAACCCTGAACAGTTGGGGCAAGTATGGACACAACATTCAAGCTTGATACAGCACTGAATTTGGATTGTGATTAAATATTTGACACAGCATATATAGGTTTCTGACACAGAATGAACTTAAAACATTTTAATTTACCTATTCAAACCATATCATTATTATTTGCTTTTATATATAAATCAGAAATAACCAATTTAAAATGGAAAATTTTAAAGAAAAAAAAAGGAAAAAAAAATCCCTCCCCCAAATTTTTTGAACCCCCTTATGATTACTCACCCCCAAACTCAATCCCAACCTTCCCTTTGTGGTATGGTATCTTGCAGTACAATTTCAGAGAGATCCATACACTTGAACACAAGTTATTGTCTGGAAACTAGAAAAATGCCTGTTTTAGGCCCCTTTTTGGCCCCAAATTCCTAAACGTTTAATGGCAATTACCCCCAAACTCAAACCCAGATTTGCCTTTGTGATATGGAACCTTGTAGTACAATTTCATAAAGATCCATACACTTACACACAAGTCATTGTCCTGAAACTAGAAAAATGCTTGTTTTTTGCCCCTAATTCCTTTAATTTTGAGGCAATTACCCCAAAAATCAATCCCAGCCTTCCCTTTGTGGTATGGTACCGTGCAGTACAATTTCAGAGAGATCCATACACTTGAACATAAGTTATTGTCTGGAAACTAGAAAAATGCTTATTTTTGGCCCCTTATTCCTAAACGTTTTGGGCAATTACTCCCAAACTCAATTCCAGCTTTCCCTTTGTGATATGGAACCTTATAGTACAATTTCAGAAACATCCATACACTTACACACAAGTTATTGTTATGAAACTAAAAAAGTGCTTGTTTTTTGCCCCTTTTGTTGCCCCTAATTCCTAAAATTTAGAGGCAATTACCCCCAAAATCAATCCCAGCATTCCCTTTGTGATATGGAACCTTGTGGTACAATGTCAGAGAGATCCATACACTAACACACAAGTTATGTCTGGAAGTTACAAAAATGCTTATTTTTGGCCCCTTTTTCCTTAACTGTTGGTACCATAACCCCTAAAATCAATCCCAACCTTCCTTTTGTGGTATTGAACCTTATGGTAAAATTTCATAGAGATCCATTTGCTTAAACTAAAGTTAGAGTTCGAAAACTACGACTACGATGACGATGCCAACTATAACGATGCCAACGTCATACCAATATCAACCATAAAATGATATCGTAATTTCCTGTCGATATGCACATCTACATAGTATGTCCTTATTATCTGGTAAGGTTTCATGAAATTCTGTTGTGTGGTTTGAGAGGAGTTGCAAAACAAGAACAGGACTGACGGACGGACGGATGGGTCAAAAACATTATACACTCGGCAACTCGTTGCGTGGGGTATAATAAAAATATAAATATGTTTATTCTCATTATGAATATTCAAATGTGCAATTTTTATTATATTGTTATTGCTGTGAATGTCTCAGGTATTGGCCTTGTACATTTTTTAATTTTGAAGGAGAAAGTATAAGGCAAATTTTTTTTTTCGGTCCTTTGAATTCAAAATCAATAAAATGCTTCGCTGGGCGCAGCTTGATACAACTGCAGAGATCGAACCCTGAACAGGTGGGGCAAGTATGGACACAACATTCAAGCTTAATACAGCTCTGAATTTGGATTGTAATTAAATATTTGACACAGCATAGGTTTCTGACACAGAAAGAATGTGGTCTAAGAACTTGAATTTTTTTAATTTACCTATTATGGTCCAATGTCCAAAATCAAAATACATGGTTAGATTCAGCATATCAAAGAACCCCATATATTCAATTTTTGTTGAAATCAAACAAAGTTTAATTTTGGACCCCAACTTGGACAAACTTGAAAACTGGGCCCATAATCAAGCATATCAAAGAACCCCAAGAATTCAATTTTTGTTAAAATCAAACTAAGTTTAATTTTGGACCTTTTGGACCTTAATGTAGACCAATTTAAAAAACGGGACCCAAAATTAAAAATCTAAATACACGGTTAGATTTGGAATATCAAAGAACCCCAATAATTCAATTTTTGATGAAATCAAACAAAGTGTAATTTTGGACCCTTTTGACCTCAATATAAACCAATTTGATAGCGGGGCCCACAAATAAAAAATCTAAATACATGGTTAGATTCAGCATATCAAAGAACCCCATATATTCAATTTTTGTTGAAATCAAAAAAAGTTTAATTTTGGACCCCAACTTTGACCAACTTGAAAACTGGGCCCATGATCAAAAATCTAAACACGTTTAGATTCAGCATATCAAAGAACCCCAAGAATTCAATTTTTGTTAAAATCAAACTCAGTTTAATTTTGGACCCTTTGGACCTTAATGTAGACCAATTTAAAAAACGGGACCCAAAATTAAAAATCTAATAACAAAGTTAGATTTGGCATATCAAAGAACCCCAATAATTCAATTTTTGATGAAATCAAACAAAGTTTAATTTTGGACCCTTTTGACCTCAATATGAACCAATTTGATAGCGGGGCCCACAAATAAAAAATCTAAATACATGGTTAGATTCAGTATATCTAAGAACCCCATATATTCAATTTTTGTTGAAATCCAACAAAGTTTAATTTTGGACCCCAATTTGGACCAACTTGAAAACTGGGCCAAAAATCTAAAATCTAAATACATGTTTAGATTCAGCATATCAAAGAACCCCATATATTCAATTTTTGTTGAAATCCAACAAAGTTTAATTTTGGACCCCAATTTGGACCAACTTGAAAACTGGGCCCATAATCAAAAATCTAAATACATGTTTAGATTCAGCATATCAAAGAACCCTAAAAATTCAATTTTTGTTAAAATCAAACTAAGTTTAATTTTGGACCCTTTGGACCTTAATGTAGACCAATTTGAAAACGGAACCAAAAATTAAGAATCTAAATACACAGTTAGATTCGGAATATCAAAGAACCCCAATAATTCAATTTTTGATGAAATCAAACAAAGTTAAATTTTGGACCCTTTGGACCTCAATGTGGACCAATTTAAAAACGGGGCCCAAAATCCAAAAACTTAATACACGGTTAGATTCAGCATATTAAAGAACCCCAAGAATTCAAGAATAAAACCCCATTGAAATTGATCAAGAAATAAGCAATTTATACGAAGTATCTTCTTTTGCACAATACTGTGCAATTGAATATTTCTTGCTATTGTGCAATACTGTACAATTGACAATTTCTTGCTATTGCGCAATATTGTGCTATTGGATATTTCTTGCTATTGCGCAATACTGTGCAATTGAAGATTTCTTGCTATTGCGCAATACTGTGCAATTGAAGATTTCTTGCTATTGTGCAATACTGTGCAATTGAAAATTTCTTGCTATTGCACAATACTTATTATATAATAATTTACACATCCTGTTTGGTGTGTATCTCCTACCATATCATTATTATTTGCTTTTAGATATTAATCAGAAATAACCAACTTAAAATGGAAAATTTTAAAAGAAAAAAAAAAAGGAAAAAAAGAAAAAAAAAAATCCCCCCCCCAAATTTTTTGAACCCCCTAATAATTCATCACCCGCAAACTCAATCCCAGCCTTCCCTTTGTGGTATGGTACCTTGCAGTACAATTTCAGAGAGATCCATACACTTGAACACAAGTTATTGTCTGGCAAACTAGAAAAATGCTTATTTTTGGCCCCTTTTTGGCCCCCAATTCCTAAACGTTTCGGGCAATTACCCCAAACTCAATTCCAGCTTTCCC